GGAAGATCAGTTGAGTCCAGGAGTTTCAGACCAGCCCAGACAACATAGCAAGACCCTATCTCTAAAAAATAAACATTTTTAAAAAAGAATCTTTTAGTTGGTGATTATGTTGCCAACATGGGAATTCCAGGTAGAAGAAACAGCTCAAGCAAGAGCAGGAGAGCAAACGAGGGCAGTGGAAACAGATCAGTGGCCGGGAGTGAGGGGAAAAGAGGATGAAAACCCAGGAGAGAGCAGAGGACACTGGGTGTCCTGACCAGGGTTTAGGGCTTTGTCCTGTGGGCCTGGGGGAGCCGATGACAGGACTCCCAAAATTGTCACCTGTGGCTGGCACAGAGGCTCACACCTGTAATCTCAGCCCTTTGGGAGGCTGAGGCAGGAGATCACTTGAGCCTAGGAGTTCAAGATCAGCCTGGGCAACACAGCAAGACCTCATCTCTACAAAAGTAAAAAAATTAGCCAGGCATGTTGGCATGTGCCTATGGTCCCAGCTACTCAGGAGGTTGAGGTGGGAGGATCACTTGAGCCCAGGAGGTTAAGGCTGCAGTGAGCAGTGACCACACCACCACACTCTAGCCTTAGTGACAAAGAAAGATCCGGTCTCAAACGCAAACAAATACAAATTTGGATTTGTTAAGAAGACTACTTGGGCACAGGTGATAGGAGGCTGTCTGGAAACAAAGCTGGTAAGGAGGCCACCTCTGAGGACCAAGCAAAGGGGGCCGAGGCGAACGTGGATGAGGCAGCGGGAGGTGAGCCCAAAGCTGAAGTGAGGGGAGCAGTGCAGTGGGCGCAGGGCAGGCCGAGGGAGGTGAGTGACATCTCTGCCTCAAGAGAACACACAAACAGAAAGCTCAACACCGCTTACCTGGTGAAACCCAACAATCGTTTCCGCTCCATACTCGCTCTGAATAATGGGCTTCTGATATGTCTTATACCAGCTCTCAAACTGGGTGGTAAGCTGCTGCTGAATCAACTCCAGGTGCCCATAGTCGTGATACCAAGAGTAGTAGCTGTTCAAACAGATCACGTCTACATACGGAGCCTAGGACCAGAGTGGCAGAACCCATTTAGCACCCACAAGACAGCATGACTCAGCACTCACACACTGGGGGGGCTTCTCTGACAGAGAAGGTAAGAAGGGGATGTAATTCCAGCACTCTGTGACGCTGAGGCAGGAGGATGGCTTGAGGCCAGGGGTTCGAGACCAGCCTGGGCAACACAGCAAGACCCCAGCTCTACAAAAAATAGTAGTGAAAAAATTAGCAGGGCGTGGTGGCTCATGCCTGTAATCCCCGCACACTGGGAGGCCAAGGTGGGAGGATCGCTTGATCCCAGGAGTTCAAGACCAGCGTGGGCAATATCGCAAGACCCCCTTTCTACCAAAAAAAAAAAACCAACCTAGAACGGGAAGAGCTGCCTCCTGGGGCTGAGAACATGCAAGTACACCAATTTAGATCCTGAAATTACCCTGTTCCATAGGCAGGAAACATGGTCACAAAGTAGCCCAAAGGAGTCAGGCCTGTCACTCCACGTTGATGCTCACGACATGCGCAGCTGGGAAGGGCTGTGAGAGGCACAGCAGCTGCCAACGCACAGTCCTCAGCCAAAGCCCAGGGCCCGCGCCACTGGAACTGTGTCCTCTCCAGGCAGCACTCCCATCACCGGGCTTCCCCTCACCTTGCCCTGGAGAAGCGTTCCCACCCGAGGGGCCGATGAAGTCATTCTCACAGAAAATCTTTTTTTGTTTCATTTTGGGAGAGAGTCTCACTCTGTCCCCCAGACTAGAATGTTAGTGGCGCGATCTCAGCTCACTGCAACCTCTGCCTTCCATGATCAGGTGCTTCTCGTGCCTCAGCCTCCCAAGTAGCTAGGATTACAGGTGCGTGCCACCATGCGTGGCTAATTTTTTTGTGTTTTTGGTAGAAACCAAGTTTCACCAGTGGCTGGGCTGGTCTTGAACTCCTGACCTCAAGTGATCTGCCTGCCTCAGCCTCCCAAAGTGCTGCGATGATAGACGTAAGCCACCATGCTCGGCTGTCACAGAGAATCTTGAGACAGCTTTCACGAGGCAGCGCTGTGGGCTGTAGAGGACTTGCAAGAGTCCATCCTAGGAGCAGAGCAGGGAAGACCGAGTAGGACCACCCCCAGCTTCAGCAAAGCAGTGCTCACGGCTGAGCAGCAGAGGCTTCTGTGTCCAACTGGCTAGTTTCTAATGTGTCCTAAACACACTTCTTTCTAGTAAAAATGCTGGCCGGGTGTGGTGCTCACGCCTGTAATCCCAGCACTTTGGGAGGCAGAGGCGGGGCGGATCAAGAGGTCAGATAGAGACCATCCTGGCTAACATGGTGAAACCCCATCTCTACTATAAATACAAGAAAGTTAGCTGGGTGTGGTGGCGGGCACCTGCAGTCCCAGCTACTCGGGAGGCTGAGGCAGCAGAATGGCGTGAGCCCTGGAGGCGGAGCTTGCAGTGAGCCGAGATCGCGCCACTGCACTCCAGCCTGGGCGAGAGAGCAAGACTCTGTCTCAAAAAAAAAACGAAATGAAAAAAACCCAGACTGGCAGCGCATGGTGCTTTCTAGCTGTTCCAATGAGCAGGTTTCAGGACGAGCCTAGGCAAAGGCAGGGAGAAGTGGGATGGGGACCCCCAGGCTCACCCCCTTGTCTGCTGCATAGTTGGAGTTGGTTACAAAGGTCACAGGCCGGGAAGGGTCCAAGGCTTTGGTGTGAGCGATCACCATCCTGTCCACAAAATGCAGAAGACACGGGTTCTGTCAGTCCAAGGGCTCAGACACCCTCCCATCCTCTCTGTCCCATCTTCCCCCACCAGAACACAACACGGGGCCAGGCAAGATGGCTCACACCCGTAATCCCAGCAGTTTGGGAGGCCGAGGCAGGTGGATCACCTGAGGTCAGGAGTTCAAGATCAGCCTGGCCAACATGGTGAAACCCCTTCTCTACTACAAATACAAAAATTAGCCGGGCATGGTGGCGCGCATCTGTAACCCCAGCTACTTGGGAGGCTGAAGCACAA